TTGCCTTTAAATCTAATTCATATATTAGTTATTATCGTTTATCGTCTAATAACTTTCAAGTTGTTTGGATTTCTGAAATTTGCAATGAAATGAGGCTAGGACTCATCATTTTTATACAGTTGATCATAGATTAAATAATAATTCAGGTTTCAAGAAGTAGTCTTTAAGTGCTTTTTCTCTTTTTGCTACTTGGTGGTGAAGTTATCCAGGATAGGTTGGATAAAAATGGACTTCATTGTGTATCGATTTTGGCAAAGACTCTAGACGATTAGTGAATACATTACCGTCTATATTTGACAATATGTAAGTAAGAGATGGATCAAGGAATTCGTTTTAACATAACAAAATGAGTTACATGAGATCACGCAACCGATTAAAAGTTGTTTTTAAGTAAAGATAACTTTCAATTCAAATTTAAAATTTGTAAATAAGTTGATTCAGTGTATAACTAGCTCGTCAAAGTAGCCAGACTGTTTTTGGGTGATTTGATCTGATCTGATTCAGCCCCCTCGGGTGATTCAAACCTTATCCACTAATGATAAGCTTCACACCAAACGGAAGAAACGATAGTCTGGTATTCAGATCACTTTTATCTGTTCGAATAGCGAGCACTACTCTGGTTAAGGTGAATGAAATCCATATACTCATCTTAATCAATCAGTAGTGTATGGTTTTGTACATTTTCGCTTGGTTTCTTGATTACTGTCCATAGTACCGAGTAGATTACATAATGTGACCCGAGTAATTTTGGTTTACAGTCGAAATTGGGGGTGAGTTTTCGCCTCGAGTTGTGCAAATTGCAGAGCTTGAATTCGACTTATGGTGTTGCCAGTTCACTCAAGTCGCTAGCCAGAAATTCGGTGTCATTGATATTAGAATAGAACTTGTGTGCTTTAATAGAGTATAATCCCATTGTGGATAAAATTTATTTTGATAAAGTCTCACAGTTTTTTTCAGTAATACTTATTTATACTGCGCATAATCATATGAAGTTACTCACACAACATTCCAACTTCGTTCATATGGTTCCACTACTTCTTATCTCAGGGATCTTTAACCTCCAGAGAGTCTCTGAGTGAATTTATTGGTTTAAATTCCACCCTGATTCCTTCTTTACTGAGAATCCCACTTAGTGTCTAAGATGTCCCCTCTTCATTTGGTAAAACTACTGTAGGTGCCTTATATTCTCTCTTATTTATGTTGTCGTTATTAGTTTCACGATTATTTTTATTTTGCTTTTCACCTTTTCTGATATTCCTAATGAATTTCTTTATAGGATAGTTATTTAACAGCAGCGCCTCTTCTATCTGTTTCATTTCATCATTTAGGTCTTTTTTGTACTACTTAGTGTTACTGCTCGGTTTGTTATACACACTGAACTAAGCCTGCCTTAACAGTTAACGGATTAGATGAATCAAAGTCTAAATATCTATTAGAATGCGTTAGTGTTTTATAAACGCTAGTGTGTAGTTTGCCTTCTCCTATTCGTTTTACTTTACAATCAAACATCATAGCTAATTCTCCTTGTTTATTTTCTCTGTCAAATGTGAATTTTATTCCCTCTACTTGTGAGTTTATATGTGTCAAGAAGCTAGAGAGAGATATGTTCTGTTTTTAACACTGAAAGTGTTTTGGAGTAGGATTAAACGTACTAAAAACTATATATATTGAGTGGTTTTAACTAATTCGATTCTCTAAGAGAGTTAAACTAGCCACATCACTGGTGAACTCGGCGTTAAATGGTCAAAACAATCCGTCCCGTGTGTATAGACCACATCCACAATCTGATTAGCTAGCAAACACTGCCTTGGTTGATATGATGAGTATTGTGTATTTTTGATTGAACACTAGTCAGTAACTACTGTAATGTGTGCTTGCGTGTGTATAGTCCTATCTTTGGTGCAGACCGAATTCTATCAGTCAGGTGTGCAATATGGCCACCATGCCACTAGGTGGCTCGGCATCACGGAGCACTGTGAATTGTTGATATTAGATTGTTGGAGGCAATCGACAAGGCTTCTTTCTGATTGCCTCCAAGTATCTGATGTCAATGACTGAGTAGTGTAAATATCACCGTGCAAAGATAATCTTATTTGCCAACTACGTGAGTAAACAGTGTTGTGACTTTATATGCAGAAGATCAAACAGTACATATATCTGAGATGATCAACTCTTTGAGATCAAAAGGGGACATATCATGTCAGTAATTCTACCGACGTATTCTAATCAACAGTTATTCAGTAATGTCATAAAAATGCAAATAAATTTAAATTCGCAAGTTTAATGAAAATAACAGTCTAAATGTGACACAAACTATTTTTGATTACTTAAATGTTATCGTGTTATTTTGCGAATTTATAAATACATATGTAATCAGAATATATATATATATACATCCTTGACTTGATTTTCTGATAAGATATCTTGTCCCTACTTCACGCCGAAATTCATATAAGAGTTGGTAATAACATTAATAATATTCTAAACAACTGATCATCCTGTACAGCATAAACTTACACGGTCAACTTGTTGTTTGATTTAACTAATACAACTCTGTTATGCCTATATAAACAAGAATTTGATGTAGGATACAAGATTCAATCTACTGATTTCTTCCCTGCTGGTGTCAATTGGTTGTAAGCTTGTTATTTAAGAAAACCATCTGTCACACCCTAAAGTGTTCACTTATTACGTAACTTAATTGCTCTTACTTTCTTTTTTACTGCAAAAAAGAGAAGTTACATGACATTTTGGCCATGTTCATTTGAAAGCTGAAAAAAAGGCACCTTTAAGAAGAGAATAATGTCATCCTTCTGTGACACTTCTAATGTATACTACAATTGTTTAATATCACTACTGAAAAAGAAGCGATTAATAATATCTCAATGATAAAAGAAGAATTTACAATCATAATAATTATTCAGAAGATGGAATCTGTGGAGATTTAGGATTAGTTCCAATTGTCTGATTTTTGTAAAGAAACCAATATCAGTTTGTGAGAGCACTGGACACCTATCCGATCCTCGTACTCCGAAATGTTCACCGTTAAACATTCACAACCCCAACAGTGGTCGAAACCCGGACCTACGGGTTACGAGATCAAGCTAGTTGACCAGTCAGCCACTTGGACAAGGGGAATTCAATGATTCGTGAATTTTTAAGTATTGGTTTTGTAGGGAATTTTGTTCGATTGGTTTAAAGATTTCATCATGAACTGATATTAGTTAGAGAGCCAATGGAAAAACCTAGAAGTACTGGACAGTTGTTTCGTCCATCGAAGTTTAGGACTTCTCAGAAGTACGCATCCACCGACAAGGTTCGAACCGACGACCTTCTAGTTGCAAGGCGAGACAGCTCGTAAACCAATAAGCCACTTGGATCCGATCCAGTCGCCAACCGGCTCATGAATTCCAACTTCTTCCAGTTGAACGCATAGCGTGACCACTTCTCAATATCTTCTTTGATGAGTTTCTGCCTCACCTTATACCTGCTGTACCTCACTGGTCACGAATCACCCCTACCTGAATAGGGCCAGTAGCTGGTGAGCATCAGATTAATTTTAAATTATTGGTTTTGTAGGGATTTTGTTTGATTGGCTGGAGGATTTCAGCATGAGCTGATGTCAGCTCTCGATGACCCTCTGCACACCTTCAGGAAATCCATCCAGTAGACATCAGTGAGTGGGTGACCGATATTCAGATTATAAGATTTGTGAGGATGTTGAATTAGTTTCACTTGTTGGATTTTCCGCATAAACCAATATCAGTCTCAAAGATGATTGAAAACCAGCCAGGAGTACTGGATAGTTGTTTCGCCCTATTTTGAAATTCCTGAGCAGTGTTCACCAACGACTTAGCCAGCTGGTATCATTATATCACAAGTTGCCAGTTGAAACTCACGAGTTATTGAATTTAAGCCGAAGGGCTGGACCGTCAGTGAGTCTGCTCTCGTAGCCTGAAGGTCCTGGTTTCAGTCTCTGTTAAGGGGGTTTGTTCAGTCTTTTATCCTACCATGGTCTTAATATTTTTTCTGATCACCCATTTCTATTTTTAGCAATAAACAGATAATTCTATCATCACAGTGAGTAGTCTGCAACTTCGAGGAAACATCATCTAATTTGAATTGCGCAATAAACTGATCACTCATTTCGAAGTAACAGGTGTTATATGTCTATTCTCACCCGTTGGTGATGACTGAATTATACTAGTCAAGTCCAGAAAGTGGTCTGAGACTATAAACTTGCACTTTGTAGTGATGAGACAGGATTGAAAGCAGTCGGTAGAAAAAAACCCTGGATCTAAGTTTTGTCCTTATTGGCACTTATCGTCAAAGAGTATCTGAGAGCTCGAATGAACTGACGTCATCCTAGTAGCCAACTAGCTACTACGTTACAGTTCCGTGTTGATCATCAGTGCCGAGTCAGCAAAGCCCGTTGGAAATTCATCTGATGACTCACCAAGTATTTGTTTTTTATTTATTATTATTATTATTTTATTTTGATTGCAGCTTGATTCCACACCGTATTTTTGATACAAGTATGAAATTTTCAGCATGGATATCGGTAGCCCAAATTTTGCAGGCTGGCCATAGATATCACATGTGCGTCGGCAGGGGATCGAACCCCGGACCATGTGCATGGTCGGTGAGAGTTCTAACCACTGTGCCACCGACGCACCTGTCAAGGCACTGACTGACTTGACTTTAGTGTTGAAAATCCAAATCTTGTTCTGTATGTTGGGTGCAGTGGATCTTCACATTGACTTCAGCTTGATGAATGTTTGTCTTGCTTTCCCAACCGTGTCTGGCCCAACATCCTCATAAATCCTTCGTGTAGTCTGAACAATGCTACCCAGATAGGTGAAAGAGTTGGTCTCCTCTAAAAATTCTTCCTGTTGATGGCACTTATTATTGTTGGTTGGTGGGTAGCTGCATAACTTCTGCCTTCTCTACGTTTGCCCGAAGTCTTGTCTTCGTTTTTTTTCACTGGTTTTCGTCTATAGATTTTCTAGTCTACGTGACATTAGACACAGATTGCCCGAGAGGACCAAATGTTTTACATTCTTCTTTTTGGTCCAACGTATTCCAATGTTCTCTCTTCTAATGGTCTGTCGCTTGATCAAGCCCATCAAAATCAGGAATATCATCGTCGATGGTAGGTAACCTTTTCTTACTTCTACCACTACTTCAGAGTCTCCAATGAATATATATAATGATTCTCTATTTACGAGGTGAGATACATTGTCCTTTGTTATTATCTTCAAGTGTTGGTTTATAGAGATTCGATCGATTTCAAGTCAAATCATTGATTCATATCAGTTAGAGAACCATTGGTTGAATCGTAAATGATTTCACCTGAAGGTGATTCCTGGCAGGATGATTAGTGTGTACTGATGATGAAACAGCTATTCAGTACTCTCATATTCTCAATAGTTCACTAACTGGTGTTAATCGGAGACCCCACTTGAAATTATTTTTAATGGGGATGAAATTTATAAGTCCATATAAAGCAGAGTCACTTTTTACAGGAAAAGATTAGTACGACTTATTAATTGCTACATTTTAATAATCAAAATATCTTCATATTATTCAAAACATATATTTCTGAATAGTATCTACTTTTCATTGATATCAGACACCAAGATTCTCTGGAACGAATCTAGGGGTACAATGTCGAGAAGTCTATCTTACAATTGAAAGGTCCTCAAATAGGTAGAGTTGTTTAATAAACGGATAGAAAATTTTCCGGTGACAATTTATGAGACTGAATTCTGAAATCTCCTCTTCAAAATAATTTTCTATAGTTTGGTTTGCAAGGGTTAGGTATGTTTTTACGAGTTGATCACGGATTGATGTCAATTAGAGAAGCATTGAAAACCGGGGAGTACTGGACAGCTGCTGTTTCATCCTAGTTTGGGAATCATTGGGATTACTCACTCCCTGGTTTGATGTGGATTAATATGGCTGACACTAGTAATAGTGCTATAATTAGGATGTGGTGCGGGAAGCCGATAAGTAATTCACCTGTAAGCCCAACACTCAACAGTATTATTATTATTGTTCCCTTGGCTTCCGAGTGGAAAATAGGGCTTCAACTGCATGTCTTCACTTTATTCTGTTTTCTGCTGTCTTCTTCATCTGGGTCCAAGATTCCCCTTAATCTCTCGTCTCCTCCTGTCACGATCGCCTCCATGTCACCCTCGGACTAACGCAGAATTCATCGTCTCTCATTTAGGTTCCACTCGAGGCGGGCGATGTCATCAGATGGTCTTCTCAGCGTGTGCCCAACATATCTCCATTTCCTCTGTCTTATTTGTTCAGCGATAGGTTCTCGGTTATTTTATTATGCTTTCTGGTTTTTTAATCTTCAATATGGAATGGAGGCAACAGTTTATGGTATCCTACATTAGCCTGCTTGAAATGCTTTTTCGTAACGCGTGCACCAAGTTTCTCACCCATTTAGAAGAACTGATCTAACATTTGTGTTGGAAATCAGAATCTTGTTCTTTATGTTGAGTGCAGATCTCCAAACCGACCCAATACAGATTTCTAATCACTTCTGACCCCCAGAGGCCACGCTATTATAAACAGAAGTCAGTCTAGTCACAGCCTATGAGAACGATCGATCCTTATTCCGCAAAAGTATATCATATAAAAATACTGTCTACCTCAGAAAGTTAAGCCAGTAAACAACCGATATAACTGTTTGTATGAATTACTGCTTCAAGATTATCTGATTGGATAACAACAACGTTCCACTTCGCCCCTGTGGTTTAAATTTGCCCATACTGGTCTTAGCTGATTTAACTATTATTTAAAAACCTAAAGATTATAAGAGTATTAAAGGAGGCATGCAAAATGGAACAAAAAGAAACCTGATTTAATTATATTATGATCAAAGTCGAGTCAGTGTATAAGTTGTGGAAGGGTGAACTTGCAGCTCTTTCATTTCCACATATTTGAATATGGTGGTCGATATGATTTGAATTTCTTCAGAGTTGATAGTCTTATGGGATTTGGTATCACGTGCTTATAAGAATTCTGTAATTATATCAGATGTTATTTTGCCTGTTCTGAAGGTGTTTTATACTGCTGGAATTGATTTCGTGTGAAATGTAGAAACTTTGGAGCCAGCTTAAGGAACACTACAGATCTTCCGGGGCAAACGTTGAGCGCAGTGCAGACACTTTAAGAACTATCGGATATTTCAGCGTTGTATGCATAAAAGTTGATATTCTTATGATATAAAATGTGAAGCCTTTTCATAACGTAAATTTAAATTCTGCTGGGGGCCGTAAGTTATTCTTTCGAAATTTCTTCATTGGAAGAAAGTGCCAACTGGGACTTATTGTGGCATTTAATATATATTGGGCGCGAAAGCACCTTGCAATAGCTCAGATATTCAAAAGTACTACTTTTTCAAGAGTTTATTTGTAGGGATTCGATTTATTTCAGTTTTGACCATTGATTGATTTCAGGTAGAGAATTGCTAAAAACCAGCAAGGATTATTCGACGGCTGTTTCGTTCTAGTTCGGAACTCATCGTTAGCATGTGCCTACCACCTCTCGAAACCAAGACCTTTTAGTTACAAGGCAGGCTGTTAGCCCATTCAGTCAATGACACCTAGCTCATTGGTCAATGAATTCGCAATTTTGGCGTGACCACCAACTAATCTCATCGGGGAGCGTTTATCCTTAATCTCGAATAGGTAGACTCCACTAGTAGGGATGTTTTACTAGAAATCACTCCGGTCAACTTGCTCCTGTAGCCAGGCAGTTACTATTGAGCATTAGATTAACTTCGAAGAGTTTGTTTTTAAGAAATTTCATTTGTCTCAGTTGCTGATGAGTCTCAAACTCTGGCGAAACCTCCACGGAAGTTTTCAATGGTTCTCTAACTAATATCAACGCGTGATCAAACTTGAAATAAGCACTACTAGCCTGTAACTAATTTAAATGCGACTAAATCATTCAAAGTAACTGCTTTGTTTGATGAAAGACATTAGAACTAAACACTAGTCTTTGTTCTGAATGTGGTTAATTTATGTATATGTCATTATGGGCACGACAAAGGATATTTTTTTTTATTAAGAGTATTAAGGATTTCAGTTTCACTAAATATCAACTTCTACTTCCTGTGTTATTTATATTATCATTTCCCCTTTTTTTGTAATACCTGTTAAGTGAAAATCTACGATAATCCTAGTAATTCCTTTGTTCACAAGATTGTTAATTCTACAGATATAGGAATGTCAGAAAAAGAAATTTCTAATTGTGCATACTAATTTCATTTATATATCAAACAGTAAAGTGTATAAATAGAAATGGGAGATTGCATAGATTTATAAAGTGGAGTGGCTTTATATAAAAGCTGTAATTTTAAACTACCATCAGATAAAATAGAGCGTGAGCTTGCTGTCGTAATCTTAAGGTTTTGGCTTTGAATCCTGTGAAGGTGGTGATCTTCAGTGGGAAGCATTGACGAGGAGTCCTGAAATGGGATGAAACAGCTGTCCAAATGCTTTTTTACGGTTTTCAACAATATCTCTTACTGATGTTTGTTTGTGACGAAAGTTTAACAGTTGAAATAGTAAAGGCCGAAACTACTGGTTGTTATGATCGCCGTACACCCTTTGATCTCAGTCGATGAGTAGCATGTTGCGTTATGCATTTATTGCTGTTTCTTGATGCGTATTTATGATGTCGAACAGATCGCATGTACTGCGATCCAAATAATTTGATTTCCAAAGGAAAGTGTGTTAAAAAGATCACCTCCATTAACTGTGTACATCTCAAAATGGCTACCTGATTTACAAATTATAAATTGGATTACTGTTCAATCATATCATGAGCTGGCATCCTTCAGAGAACCATTGGAAAACATCCAGGGATTACTGAACAGCTGTTTGGTCTCAGTTTAAGACTCTGCTTCTGATGAAGAGTTCCTGTAGGTTTTCCAATGGTTCTCTGAAGGATGCCAGATCATGATAAAATCCTGTGACAAATCAATCAAATCCTTACAAATCAGTACTTAAAAATCAGTCATATCACTTAAATAAACAATTAGTTATCACGGAAAGGGCTTGAAAATATCAGGATTCGCGATAAAGGTAGTTTTAGATAAGTCAAGAAATCCAGTAATAATGAAAGTTGGAATAAAATATGAATAGTAATAATATCGTTTATTAAATAAAAGATATTATCACGATGGATTCAAAGTGACCACTATTCACTTATCAGTCATATATTTCCTTGTTTATTTCTAAAAGTATATATGTATATATCACTGTAAGTAGAGTGAGTGTTCAGCTGAAGAGTAGTTCTACTCAGAATTGATGAGTTCGTTAAATCCTGATTTATTAGCAACATCTGTTGCTTCTATAAATTCCTATCAGGAAGAAAAATATTTCCAATTTCAAGAATATCTTTATTTAAAACACTTCTATTTCCATATCACATAATGTGAGGTTGAAAGAAGACTTTGTTATATTAGGAGAAAGACTGCTGTAAAATACTGACTGTCGAAATAACCTTCATACTATTGAATACTTAAATGAGGACTGAGTCAATCAGTTGTTTACAGTTGGGGTTGGGGTCGCGCTAAATCACGAATTGGTAGAAGTTAGAATTCACGAGCCATTGAATCGGGTCCCAGTGGCTGAATGGTATACGAGCTTGCCTTGTAACCGGAAGGTCCTGGGTTCGAAACCCAGTGGGTGCGTACTGCCGATGATTCCCAAACTAGGATGAAACAGCAGCTGTCCAGTACTCCCTGGTTTTCAATGGTTCTCTAACTGATATCAATCCGTGATCAACTCGTAAAACATAACTAATCCTTACAAACCAAACTACAGAGTGCTGATTCATATTTCCCCTTAAAGGCTGTTAAAATTAGTGAATAAGTTAACATGATTTGGTGGATGGTGACTTGCAGTTGAATCCAGGATACGCATTTTGTTCTATTTAGTACTCGCCAACTAAATGTGCCTCCATTCCACAGTGAGTGTTGATGTTACCAAGTTCTTTAGAAGATAAATCTTTGGAGTTTGCATTAAAGGGTACTGGATTTGTGCCTTAGCGGAAATACAGTCACTTATTGAGGATTGCAAGGACAGTCAGATGACGAGGCCCAAACTAGACGAAATCCGCATTCTAGTAGATTCCACTGCTACTCAACATCCACCAAGTCACTTCAAGTGAAATTTTTAGACACCTTTGAAGCATACACACA